GAACAGGGAAAATTAATTGGTATCCATACCTCACGCTTCCTCCCGCACCAATATCACCCCTGGTGTGACTAACAATAACGCAAGTACGGTACAGAAATGCATTACCTATGTTCTCAATTTAAAAACATAAGGGAACTCAAGAGATAGGGTAGTTTTCCATATACCATATTATTAATATGAATGTGCATTTTTATTGGGATCTGTAATGACACGGAATGGATCAAACGTTGTTTCAGTCAAAATAATTATACGAAATATCGTGGTCCAGCCTTAAGGTTCATGTCATTCTATGCGACTCTCCTACATGCAGGGGATTCGAAGGCCTTCTGACGATGCTGTATAACACACAGAATTGCTGGGCTTTAGGATATTGCCCACCGCCCGGTATTCTAAATAGTTCTAGAACTCAACATTTCGAAAACAGGTCCTATTTCCGAAACTTGTCTTCTCCATTTTCTTTGGAATACCGGACAATGGTAAAGGTAACGTCCTTGTGAGAAACTAATTAAGCATTATGCCATAAAGACTAAGACGTATGGGGGAGTGGCTGTATAGATCCACACTGACTCCAGCACTAGAGGAGGTGAGTGGTCAGTTTTATGCCCCGGCCGCTTTACCCCCGAGGAAAGAGCTCCGGTAACCATTGGTTAGGAAGCTGGGTGGCCCCTGTACCGGTCTGGCCCGGGCGATGGACAAAGTGTAAGAACCCAGTAATTCTGAGGACTATATGTAGTGGTATATGAAGTGACAGGAGGTTGGAGAAAACTGCATAATGAGGAGCTTCATAACTTGTTCTCTTCTCCAAGCATAATTAGAATGATCAAGTAAAGGAGGATGAGGTGGGCAGGGCATGTAGCACGAATCGGCGGGAAGAGGAATGCACATAGGATATTGGTGGTAAAGCCAGAAGGAAAGAGACCACAAGGAAGACCAAAGAGTAGGTGGGTAGACAATATTAAAATGGATCTTAGAGAGATAGGATGGGATGGTATGGATTGAATTGATCTGGCTAAGGATAGGGACCAGTGGAAGGCTCTTGTGAAGACGATAATATACCTTCGGGTTCCATAAAATTCTGGGAAATACTTGAGTAGCTGTAGAATTGCCGACTCCTCCAGAGTAAGTAAGTAAGTAAGTATATGTAGTGACTGTGTTGTAAAAAATAAAGCCTTTCGTAATTAAACACGAATCAACGCCACTGAACGTCCTGACCCGGTTCAGTTCAATCACGTCTTGTCAATATTATTCTCCTCCAACTATTTAGGGTTTCGTGGTCTCTCTCAGCTCTCCATGTAAATGTCCGGAGAGTACCTGAACGAAAGCCACTGTCGTTTCTTTACACATCGTTTCCAAGCCATTGTTCCCAATTATCACATCATTCGACGCCACAGAGTCGAGTTAGTGACAGCCGTTAAATAAACTGCAAATGAAAACACCTTGATACTGATGTGACAATGCTTGCTTATAAAGTGGTTCAGGGCGCAAATATTTCCCCCCAAAAAAATCATCTTCTCTGACTCTCCGTATTTTTCTTACGTCTCTCAAATGGGCCGCGCCATTGCTCAAGCGGTTAGTCGCTGGCATCCCACCGCGGCGGCCCTGGTTCGATCCCGAGTATGGTCAAGTGGGATTTGTGGTGGACATAGTGGCGCTGGGGCGGGTTTCCTCGATTACTTCGGTTTCCTATACTAATCTTCATTACACCAAATTCTCCATCATCATAATCACCCGGTTCAGGTTTCAATAGGCCAATCTGTGGCCACCGTGCCGAGTGGACCAAGTTGGACTCCTCCTCCCACTAAGCGAATGTAAAAAATAATTTATATCTCTCAATAATATCCTTTTACCCTTCCCGGTTTATCAATCCGTCCTCTTGCATTTGGACGCTATACAAACATAAAAATCATATAAAACAATGCTCCATTATCCGGTTAATTATAAAATCCTCTCTATCACTCCCTGATCAAGGTCAAGTGTGTGATAAAAATAAAGATATTCCTTGTAGTGTCCTTCACTTCCCTGTTATTGCAGCTTGACTATGCTTTACTTTCTACTTTACATTCAACCATCCTGCGACCTTACCTCTTAGTGAGGGGCGAGTAACTGCAGTACGCTAGTAACAAGACCTTCATAACCATCATCGCTGTGATTCCAACATCCTACATTTCTAGTACTGTTTCCGTTCATTACTCCGCGCAGTAATATATATATAGTGACTCATAGACCCACTGCTAGGCAACGACTCAGTAAAGATATCCCTCGGAATCGAATACACAAAAATAGAGGACATCCGTTGCTAGAAAATGGGCGTGTTTTCTGTGTGGTCTGAACTGAGGCTATATAACGAGACACCAACAATAAATTGCGGACCAAGGCGCATACCGGTCGGCGATTTGCACATGGCTGGGGGAACGCGGTAGGGTATTGGTTGAGGTGCTGCACTACAAGCCGGAAGGTGGCGGGCTCAAATCCCGTTGAGGTAATTGGATTTTTTTCAGTTGATCTAATCCTTCCAGCCGCACTAGGCCCTGGGGTTTACTCAGCCTCTAACAGAAATGAGTACCAGGAATTAATTAAATAATTTTCCTTGTGAGTAAAGCGCGGCCGGCCATCTTTGAGCCGATTGTCTAGATAATGTGGGAGCCTCATGGGCCTTCACGGCCTAGTACAGGGATAGCTTTACTATTTCTTTACTTTATGCAGTCCTTTAGGCAGACTGCAATCCAGCGAGGCAGCGATACTGGGACAGTCAGTTATTCGTCTAGTCTTCTAATCAGTCAGTCAGCTGTAAATCAATGAAATAATCAGTCACCAAGGTTACCAAGACATTAGTCTTCTCAATGAGTTCATTAGGTTCGAGACAAAGGTGACGCCTCCAGTTGTAGAGGGCAGTTGCAGATATACTGAATCAGCAATGTCAGATAGGGGACAGGGGAAGGTCCTTTAGCTTGGTCGTGGGAGGACGGTCCTGCAACTCACCGTAAAATACCATCGCGCTAATGAAATCTACACAGAGCCTTGGACATGGAAGAATTATTTGGTGGGGGAAGACTGTAATGGATATTCGGGAGACTTCTTGGCAAGATGGCCACCAATTAGCTTCTGGGGGACTCTGCTCTGTGGAGGCAGTTAGTTATTTGTACTTAAGGGACATACGGTTATGAAGTTTCGTGACAAACAAGGATAAGATGAAGAGACTTCCGGTCTCCCTGCAGTGGGACGGATGAATAGTTGGTCATCAAGAATAGGCACCTCCCTCTTTAAAGTAGAATGTTGGAGCTCAACTAATGTGACAGACAAGAGAGTTGGGGAAGGGAGCTCCCTGAGTCCTGATTCAGCAGCTCAGCATTTCGCTATCATGCATGGCTTCCCATCACGCGCCGTTCCCACAATACGTAAACTGCAGTACAGATATTACACAGAACAAGTTCTGTAGAAATATACTGTGCTGAGTGTTACCACTCTGCATTAAATTAGGCATTTCGGGGGAGGGCTGGAAACCCATCCCGGTGGTCATTATTGAGGGACTCTTATTATTTGCATTACTTGAATAATGTTAGTGGCTAGTACGCTAACACAGTGGCTAGTAGTTCATGTACCAGACTGCGACTAGCTTGAAGAGGCACCAACCCTCGAAATATATCAGGTAACAGAGAAAACACAGCATATATTAACATCACCATTGAGTAGAATAGCAATCGGGCATGAGATATTATGTGAAGAATGAAACAGGTTAGCTGAACAGTCCAACTTAATGAATGATTTTTTTATGATGAGGGTAATAATAGTAATCATCATCATAAAAGTGTTGAGAACTTACAGAAGCTTCCTAGGACGAACAGGAATAAAGTCGAAATATGTATGTGTCTGCGGTTACAGCTTCTTTCCAAAAATTGGTTTTGATATTCCACCTACGGATTGGGCAGACTGGGGAGTGCAGAGGCTGCAGAAAGCACTGAATCATCCCCTGCATTCTGAGCTTTCAATAACAATTCTTTTGCCTCTCGATTCCTCCGAACACACACACAATACAATTCTATACTCCCAGAAATAAATCCCTGCCACATTCAATACTTGAAAATGAAGATAAAAAAGGGGGGCTAACGGGAAACATGAGCTTAAAACTGAGCCACAGAAGAAGCAACTCGCGGGGCAGTTGCATGTTAAGCCTCATTTATTACGAGAATATTATAATTTCGGTGTCGCCTGTGAGAGTTTTTCAGTGATGTCGTGCTTCTGATGTATCTCATAAATATTCTCTGGTGAGCTTCCTAATATCCGTCTGTCCTAGCGGCAAACTGCGCCAGCCTAGAGAGAATGGAATTGGAACAGCTGTTAATATGAAGAGTACTGTCAACTGGAATATGCCGCGGTATAGTCTGGTACATAAATTCATCCCAAACGTCACAGATCTTCTAGCATTCCATTCTATCTACCACTGTGCTGCCTTTGGCCGCAGTGAAATATTCAGCTATCGCTAACTGCAGATTATGTAGACCGATGTTCCTGGCATGTTCTAATGTAGCAGTCCGCCAAACAAACATCCTTTTCGCCACAGGTTCAGGGGACCTAGCAGTGTACGTCGAAACGTGAAACTGCTCCAAAATAAGAAAACCTTGTTATATATAAGCACAGGTCCTTAACACGTGAAAGAAATAACATTTAGAAAATTTTCTTAAATTTCTGACAGAAAAGAAAGCTGTGATGCAAATTTTTATACAATACACGTTATTTAGTCTTTCACTTAACAACCTTCTTCTGAAAATAAAGGTTTAGGTTGAAACATGCTGTCTTCTGCGAAATAACCCTGTCCAAATTCAGATGATTCCGGTCGATTCTGACATATGCATGCCTTTCCCAGGCCGTCCCTTTCCTTCCCGTGTTTATACACAACTTTAATATGAATTTCTTATGTTCCCCAAAGCGTTATACTGGCGTTTCCGAATATCCGAAGGTTGGTCAGGTAACTAACAAACCGACGCTCTGTTTCGTATGTGCAGGTTATGGAAACCTGGCTCCTCAGTCTGAAGTAGGCAAGGTGATCACAATCATCTACGCTATCATCGGCATGCCTCTGTTTCTGCTGTACCTCTCCAACATTGGAGATATCTTTGCCAAGAGCTTCAAGTGGACATACGCCAAATGTTGTTTATGTCAGGGCTGTTGCGAGGGCGCGTCGCGACGCCGTTCTGCTCGCCGCCAGCAGATGGCGCTTGAACATCCAGCGTCAGTTGGCGCTTTCTTGGGAAATGACGAGTGGAGGGTGAGTACAAACCTTGCGCCAAATTGTTTACACATTACTCTTTATACTTTATGGCCTCTTACTTGAAAAGCAAACACGGAACAGTTGGTGGCTAGCCTATTCTGCGATGGTCTAGAATTTCCACACGCTGAAAATTAGTTTCATTTCATTACAATCCTTCAACCGCAGAGATTATCTGGCGTCAGATTATGATAATAATGATTGTGCAGCCGAAAACAAATGTATAATTTTCCTCGACTTCATGAGTACCTCTGGAAGCAGTTTTCCAGCTTGCATCTTCATCTTATCTTCCTCAGTCACTTTACATATCGTCACTTCTCTAAAACTCCTTGAAGGAAACGGAATTATTGTGTTGCCGGGAAAATGAAAGAGAGAAGAATATTCTTAGGAGGAAGGAGGCAGAGGAAGCTCGCGAAAGCTGCATAACTAGCAACGGTCTTCATAATTTGTAGATTTCACCTGATACTTAGTACACTTATCAAGTCAAGAAGGCTTTGACAAACAGGGCATGGATTATGTACCAGGAAGACAATAAATAACCACAGAACCTTGTAGAAAATGCTCAAGTAAGTCCCACTCGGGGAATTTGCTAGGATAATATTAGGAAAAATCTTAGAGGTTTCAATGATGTTACCTAAATCAAACTGGTGTGTTTTGGGAAACACAGCTCTAAAACTTCGGTTCTATAGAATACAGGGAATTTCTTGACATCACGTCTCTTTGTGTTCTTAATAATGATTTTCTCCGCGGATGTCTGGCCGATGGAATACATCTGTTGTTCTTAATAACACGCGATGCCTATTCTATTTCTTTCAGTTCCACTTACCACAAGTAAATGTTAATGACCTCACAGCCGTTTCATCCCCCCGAACAGAATACACTGAACAGAGTTTAGGTACCTTCACATTTCATTCGAAATGGCAGCTGATACAGCAACGCTAAATAATATCTTCTTTTTATTTCTAGTGGGGTGGGACTAAGTCCCTTGCACTGCGGCCACTTCTGGCCTATTGTACCAGCCCTAGATGATAGGTGAGGGTGGTTGTGGAGCAACTGGTGGAATGAAGATTGGCAGGGGAAACCGAAGTACTCGGAGTAAACCTACCCCAGCGCCACTTTGTCCGCCACAAATCCCACTTGATTAGACACGGGATCGAACCCGGGCCGCCGCGGTGGGAAGCCAGCGACTAACCGCTTCAGCTATGGCGCGACCCTAAATAATATCTTAAAGAAATCTTGTTCTTACGGTTTTCCTGTCACCTGTATCACTCTATTCTTGCTTTATTTGAAGTCGCTTTGCTGACTGCACAGGTACGATGGCAGGAGCACAGTTAGAATAAATAAAAATGAAGAAAATCTTAGTAGAATATTTGTTAATATTTAAATACATTATATACTGACGCAGTATATACTGGTCCCTTTCTTTTATTCTCATTACAATTTCACAACATTAATAACAACGTTGTTACCTAAATGTCTAGCCTGTCGTACGTTTTACTGCACTTTGAAATGCATTTATTCTCATAGCCCGAAAATCGGTTTTTATGCAAATAGTAATCTGACTATAACACAGATTAAAATTTGGAGAACTGACATGCATTCCTGAAGCAATTTTGTGTGCTGCTCTTATGTTTGTAATTTGGATTCAAATGGCAAAGTTTAAAAAAATGGCAAGCGGTCAAATTTGTTTTTCGCCAGCGAATTTAACTCAATATAAACATACTTTTCATAATACACTATTAAACACAGGAAGCTCAAATTTTTGTGCAACGACCTTTCACTTCGAAGTTCCAAAGGAGTTTTTGCATGACAACTTGGTGTTCGAGACTCTGACACTATGAAAACCAATGTCGTTTACCTGTAATGATTGATGCCAGTTCTTATTTAAACAATTCAGTGAAATAACTACTTTCACACAGCAGATTATTTCTTGGGAAGCTGATAGTCGCTTACATGTCAAGAAATTTTCTTCATGCCATACACATGGTTGCATGGCGGCGAATCGGTTACGTGAATTACACATTGGCACATCCTGCCACAAGATATAATGGTTGTACTGACACGATTAGATTTATTTAACTGCATAATAGATAACAGGTCATACTGGCATTACTCGGTTCTTCTCAGAGGCTCGTTTATAATGGCGAATTTTACTGCGTGGAAGTGATGACGGCAGTGAAATAAGAATGGTTCTATATTCCACATCCTGTCCACGGCGTCGTACAGGGATCTGCAGGTCAAATTTGTGCTGTTCACAGGTGCAATACATGGTTGGCGCTGATGACGTGGACAGCGGACAGGTTGCAGTACGCATCGAACGCGGCGCTGGCGAGAACGAGGCGACTGACAGCGCTAGCAGCGGGGAAAGTGAACCATACGACCCTCAGTCTGTCACGGTGCCCATTACCCTCTGTCTCGCGATCATGGTGGGGTAAGTGCGTGAACCGTCAGGTGATAATATGATTCGCGCCAAGCTGCTCCCTAAACCCATTCTCAGTGTCCATTCACCAAGTACTGAACTTCAAACTGACAAAATAAAATAAAAATTAGGTCATATAAAGTTTGAGGTTTTCACGGCTGTGTAGGTTCATGTTCTAATCTGTGATTTAAACTCTGAAGATAGAGGTAATCTGTTTATTCGAAGCGTTGACAGCTACCTACGAGGTTGCACGGTGTCATAATCCAGCAGAAAATTAGAATACATTCTGGAAAATGCCAAGGGTCGGCAAAATTTAGAGTACCCTTGCCATTATTCATTCCAGATTCTACTCTATCTAATGGTGTACTGACTAAACAGTGATGAAAATTGGAGGGAAATGTAGTACAAACGGCAAATATAGCACGATATTTCAGTAGAAAATTCTGAAGGCAAGCTACCAAACGGGACATAATGTATGTACGTTGACTGTATGATAGAATTTATCTTAAAAGATACGTACTTTCAGAAGACGGGGACTGGATTCCGCTGCCTGAAGACGGTCACGTGACGGGCTCTTATTAATATGGTAATGCTCCTACGAGTTGCTTATAAGCATGGTTAGTCGCTGGCTTCCCATCGCGGCGACCCGGGTTCGAACCAGGGTCTGGTCAAGTGGGATTTGTGGTGGACAACATGGCGCTGGGGCGGGTTTTCTCCGAGTACTTCGGTTTCCCCTGCCAATCTTCATTCCACAAAATTCTACATCATCATAATCACCCGGGGCAGGCTACAATAGGCCAATCAGTGGCCGCATTGCCGAGTGGACCGAGTTGGACTCCACCGCCCACTAAGCGAATTAAATATTTGTAAGCAGGGGAATTTCTTGACTGTATATAAGGCCTTCAATCTGTGAAGACGGATACTGTTTCGAGCAATTACTTGATTAATACTACGAGGATAGTAAAGACTGGACGTTGGCCGTGTTTCAATATGTCCCTTATAACAACTATACTAGAAAGTAACTACTATCCATACATTTCATGCGAGAATTGCTACCCCACCGACCACTATTTCATTACCTGTAATCAGTAGCATGAACATTGCAACCGTGAGAAATGTGCAGTTATTGTACAGTCCTGACGTATCTAGGGAAAGTCGAGTTCTTTATTAATCTACGAGTCTGGCACTCATGCAAATATGTAAGAGGTATAAATTGTGACAGAGCGACGTTAGAGGAAAGAAAAGGGGTTCAAAACCCCTATATCTCCTATTGATCAATTGATCATTTTGGGAAGTACTGTGGGTTCTCATGGAAGTCTACTCATGTATGCCCTCAAGAGGCCTCGGTGTTTCTGCTAGCTAGTTCTGTGGCGGAACATACAAAGGGTTAAACTTTTCGCTGCGAAGGTCCCTTTGCTGTATAAAAGTCGCACAAGAGTAAGATTCCCCAACAGAAGATAAAAACACGCGAGCGACATTGCAAATATATGCATGTTTATACGTATGCTCACTGTTAGAAAGAAAACTGTTTGGCGCACTTCTTCATATCGACTATTCTCAGGGACGTGAATGCACGAGCAAACGCGTCAGGCATTAAAAAGATGTACTAACAATCCTTGTTCGCAGTGCTTACTTTCTGCTGTAGGTACATCTGTTTCGGTGCTGTCCTGTTCTCCGAATGGGAAGGCTGGAACTTCCTGGACAGTTCGTACTTCTGCTTCATCAGCCTCAGCACCATTGGGTTTGGAGATATCGTCCCGGGAGAACGAGTTATCAAGAGCCAGGAGATCGAGCTAAGCTTCATCTTCTGCTCCATGTATTTGATGTTCGGCATGGCGCTCATAGCGATGTGCTTCAACCTAATGCAGGAGGAAGTGGTCCACAAGATGCGAAGCTGCATGCGGTCCCTCAAGTTCATTTTCAGCTGCAAGCGAAGGGAAAGAAGGGACGATGAGGACGATGTCTCCGGGATCAGATGACAGTGTCTTCTTCTTGGTAAGATATGTGTGTATGACATATGAGTGTCAAACAAACTCCTCGGGAGAAGTGCGTTACGTAACGAGATAATTTCTGTTCGGAGGGTCTGAAATAAAGGTTGTTAAGGTGGATTGAGTGTTTAGCGCGGATAAGGAACCGGAAAAATATAGCCCTATCCACATTACTAGAAGGGGAAGTCCCTTGTAGAGTAATATTTTGAAACACAGAGGAGGATATGTGATTATACTAGATGGAAGAGAGTGGCTGAGAACTACCTGCTTTTGGCCATATTTATTCTTCAAGTACCACTGCCAGAAATTTAATGACTAAATAATTCTTGGCTCGTATAATGTTTCTTCAACTGCTTATAGTATTTAACGTATAATATCTGGATGAGAATAATGGGTTAAGGCATGGAAGTAAAGAGCTTTAACCAATTAAAAAAGTCTACTGTCAGTGATTTTGCCTGAGAGAAACAAAGAAAACCTTCGGATAAGATTTGAGAGCATTCTGTACTTAACAGGTGTGGTTACCAGGGATTGTAATCTGTCATTACCAGGAAAATAATTTGTTAGATAACCAAATCTCTTCTTTCTTATTTTTATCTCTTTAAAGTTCTGCAGTGTTACAGAAGCTTAAAGTCCGTTTCTGCAATCAATCCACGGACTCATACAGAGAGCTTACTGAACGTACTGATTTGTGTTTCATATTACCTTACAATCCTGTTCTAATAAACGTTTTCGAACACCGTTTTGCGGCGAGGGCAGTCTCATGCCTATACAAGTTTACATACGTTAATAACCGTGATATAGCATGGCGTCCAACACGACAGGAAATTGAGTTACAAGCGCGGAATATTAATGATACACAATCATTACTTGGGTGTCGATATTATCACATCGTGTTAATTTATTGAGCAGTAACACGAATGCCATATAGAACACATAAAACTCCATTAGATGCTAATGAAGACGTTGATAGAGGAGCCTCACATAAAACTAAACAAGCTGTACGTGCGTGACTAGTTCCAAAATTGCACGAAAAAAGAATGGAAAACAAAGTCTACCAGTATATCCTCCTGGAGTGTGGAGACGTTCACACATTTTGGAACGACAGCAACTACCCTTATAATTACACACAAGGAGATTTAATAATTTCGGCGGCTGCATCCTCCTACCTTCCGGACCAAACATTTGTTCTCCTCTGTCCAGCCTAAAATCTAAAAAGAAAAGTTTCAGTTTATCGAATGACACGGTCACTGTCTCAAGCTGTAGAATAGAACGGTATGATTTAACGGATACTGAACTGCTAAGGAAGCAGAATAAACAAACGTGGGTTAGTTCGAGTTACTATGCCGGAATTTGCCTAGAGAAACAGACAGACGAGAAACGACAGACTGATTAGCCGATGTCCTTGCAGAGATTCACAGAAGTCGCCTCCCGGACACACTCTACAAGCTGTACCCCTCAAGCCAACCTCTTCAGTGCCGGGCATTTGGCATGCCATTATATCATCAAATGGTATGAAACTTTGTCAACGTTAGGCGGGTCCTTGTCACCACGGCATGGCGCGTCTTCGGGCTGCGGATGGAGGAGATGCCCTTCAGGTATGAAGTGTACGTGCGAATATATTGAATAAGCAGTCGCGGAAGGCCGACAAGGCGGGGTCCTCAAGCTTGGAGGGTTGAGGGTGGGGCTAACAAATACTTGCCGTAAAAATAAGCTTGTTACAGCAGATCGGCAGATCACAAGAGGTCTCGGACCTGGAAGGATTCCTTGGATAAACGACATAGGCGAAAGAAAGTGGATACGAGATTTGGTACTTGAAATATTAGACGTATATATAGGGCAGGTCCCTTCAGGGCAGTGACGAAAGGAATCTCAAAATATTAGTTAGATTTAGTGGCAGTACAGGAGGTCAAATGGGACGGAGGTGGCACAGAACCAGTAGGCGAATATACATCCATTATTCTATGGAAAAGGGGAATAAAAGTCATTATTTATTACAGGTTATTTTCTTACATAAGAGAATCGTATAATCAGTTATGAGGGCAGAGTTCGTTAGTGATAGGATATGATATAATAATACTAAAAGGCCGCTGGTGTTATATCATCGTTCTGAATGTTCATGACCCAAAAGAAGATAAAGTTGATAACATAAAGGACAGGTTCTATGAATAACTGGAACAAGTATTTGATAAAATCCCAAAGTACTATAAGACAAATTTTGTTAGGAGATTTCAATGCCAAAGTAGGGATGGAAGACATTTTCATACCAACGATTAACAATGAGAGTTTGCATGACATTATCAATGATAATGGAGTGAGAGTAGTAAACTTTGCCGTATCGAAAAGTCCTCCAGTTAAAAGTACAATGTTCCCGCATCGTAGCATCCATAAATTTACTTGGACATCTCCTAATGAGAAGATACATAATGAAATCGACCATTTTTTATAGATAGGAGTCGGCGTTCAAGTGTCCGATCATTCAGAGCAGCAGACTCTGATACTAACCACTACCTGGTGGTGGCAGAGGTTAGGGAAAGACTTGCAGTGAGCAAACAAACAACGCACATAGTTCATATGGAGAATTTCAAACTCAAAAAGTTGAATGAGGTAGAGGGCAAAGAGCAGTATCGTGTTGAAATCTCAAATAGGTTCGCGTCTTTGGAAAACTTCGACACTGAAGTGGGTGTTAATATAGCTTGGGAAACTATTAGAGAGAATGTCAAATTTTCTGCCAAAGAGAGTATAGGTTATTATGAACCGAAGAAGCATAAACCATGGTTCGATATAGGATGTCAAAAATTATTATACCAAAAGAAACAAGTCAAATTGCAGGAGTTACAGGATCCAAGCGAAATAAATGGAGGTAATCTCAGCAATATAAGACGTGAAATCAGCGTGTATATCAGGAATAAAAAGAATATCTGAAAGACAAAATTGATGAGCTTGCAATGAACAGTAAGAACAAGTACATTAGAGACCTGTATAAAGGAATGAATGACTTTAGAGGGGTTTCCAGCCTAGCAGTAACTTAGTGAAGGATGAAAATGGTGATCTGCTTGCAGATTCCCACGTTTTGAATAGAATGAAGAACTCCTCTCTCCGTTACTGAATATGCATAGGGTCCCTGATGTTAGGCAGATAGAAGTACATACAGCTGAGTCCTGTGTACCTGATCCTAGCCGTCTTGTGGTTGAAACTACTATTTCAAAATTTAAAAGTTACAAATCGCCAGGTAAAATAAAAGTAAAAGTATTTCTGTAACTGGCCGTGAAGGCCCATATGGTTTTCAGACATTGAGGGCCTCACATTTTCTAGACAGTCGGCTCACACATGGCAGTAAGGTGGTCAGCCTTACGCGCCGGACGCCCAGTACCACCCAGGAAAATTCCTGGTACTGATTTCTGTTAGAGGCTGAGTCGACACCAGAGCCATAGTGCAGCTGGAGGGATTAGGTCAATTAAAAAAAATCACCCTCATCGGGACTCGAAACCCTCCACCTTCAGGCTTGAAGCATGATGCCTCAACCAACTACGCCACATCGCCAGGTAGTGATCAAATTCCGACAGAACTTACTCAAGCAGGAGGCGACAAATTACTTTCTAAGATCCATAAACATAGTAAAGGAAAAATTACGTGCTCAGTGGAAGGAATCTATTATTGTACCAGTTCACAAGAATGGCGATAAAGCTGACTGTAGTAATTATCGGGGGATATCACTGCTATCAAATTCATACAAAATTTTATGTAATATTCTTCTCTCAAGGTTAAGTCCATACATAGATGAAATTATTGGGGATCATCAGTGTGGGTTTCGGTGTAACACCTCAACTACTGATTAGATCTTTTGCATTCGTCAGATACTTGAGAAAAATGGGAGAAAATGAGAGAGTACATCAGCTATTCGTAGACTTCAAGAAAGCCCATGATTCAGTTAGAAGAAAGTATTGTACAATATTCTGACAGAGTTCATAATACCAGTGAAACTAGACAGGCTGATTAAAATTTGTTCAAACGAAATGTATGGCAAAGTCCGCATAGCTAAATACCTGTCCTATAATTTTCATATCAATAATTGTATAAAAGAAGGAGATGCTTTTCAACTTTGCTTTAGAATAAGCCATTAGGAAGGCCAAGAAAAGCATGTGGGACTGAAATTAATTGGGGCGTATCAGCTGTTGGTCTACGCTGATGATGTGAATCTATTAGGTGATAATATACGTAGATTCCATAAAGAAAAACAAAAATTTTAACTGACGCAAGTAAGGAGGTTGGTCTAGAAGAAAACACAGAGACAACTATGTATATGTTGTTGTCTCGTCATCAAAACGCAGGGCAAAATCATGACATAACTTTAGGAAACAGGTGTTTTGAAAATGAGACAACAGTTCAGATATTTGGGACCGACGATAACAAATCGAAACCTGATTGAGGAGGAAATTAAGAGGAGATTGAACTCGGGTAATGCTTGCTACCATTCAGTCCAGAATCTATTGTCTTCTCATCTGCTTTCCAAAAACATAAAAATTAGAATATACAAAACTATATTTTTTGCTTGTTGCTCTGTATGGGTGTGAAACCTGGCCTCTCATTTTAAGGGAGGAACATAGACTGACGGTGTTTGAGAACAGGGTGCTGAGGAGAATATTTGGATCGAAGTGACAGGAGGTTGGAGAAAATTGCATAATGAGGAGCTTCACAACTTGTACTCTTCTAGAAATATAATTTTAATGATCAAGTCAAGGAGGATGAGATGGGCCGGGCGTGTAGCACGAATGGGGAGAAGAGGAATGCATATTGGATGTTGGTAAGAAAGCCAGAAGCAAAGAGATTACTAGGAAGACCAAGACATAATTGGGTAGACAATATTAAAGTGTATCTTAGATAGGATGGAATGGATGGGATTGTATGAATTGCATTGATCCGCCTCAGGATAGAGATCGGAGAAAAGCTCTTGTGAGCACGGTGATGAACCTTCAAGCTCCATAAATTGCTGGCAAGTTCTTGAGCGGCTACACAATTTGCGGCTTCTGAAGAAGGGTTCAGCTCCATGAGTGAGTATTGGCGCTAACCCAGAGTGCGAGAAGTAACGCAAGGCTAAAGTGCGTACTGTGGAGGTCTATCCTTTATATTTATTAGTGAATAGCAATGCGTTCACAAAGGAAATGAGAACGACATAAGAGGGACATGTGGCACGCAAGGTGCAGTGAGTTATGCTTAAATTTTAACGGAAAATAGTTAAATTAAAGGCTATGAGAGACTATACATAAATAGAAAGATGATTCAAATAAATATTAAGCAAATGGGATCTCGTTAACATGGTTAACACCTCAGATTCTTACAAGGGTAGGAAGACTTGACGAACTTTGCGCTTATCAGGCGTGCGCTCAGCCTGCCCAGGCACCCAGGTAGCCCGTCAAACAGGCAATCAATCCAGTTATTTATGGGGCATTGGCTTCTCAGCCTTGGGATCGAATGGCACTTTTAAGCTAAGAGTTCTCATATGTATTGTATCTGAGTTCAGAAAATGGGCATTCAGGCCAGTCCGTAACGTATACTGATTTGCAGGACAATTGCAAAATTTCTGTTGAGGGTCACTTTATCCAGATGTTGTTCCAATTAGTCTGCATTCATTCGGTGTTGACTTCAAACATATTTTGGCCTACACTACATTCCCTGCGGTGAGAGTCGCTGTGAAGCTCTATTCTGGGGCCCGCAAAAGTGATATACTTACTGTCCTCATAAAGTTTGTTTATGTTCTACACAGTCCGTCAACAATGAAACAAATTGTTCCTTCTTTCTTACCTTTTCACTTTCGTCACTACATGTTTCGCCCCTAGATTGCCATCTTCAGGTGCTTTACTATGCTAAAACTGCTACACTGCACTAATATTGTCCATGCGTCACATATGCATCTGCACTCTTCATAATTTAAAACATCATACTCGTAGTCAGTTGGTATGCGCTAAAATAGCACATGCTGTAGTTCGCTTAATTTAAATCAAACTCTATTAACATTTTCTATTTAATATTTTCTTTAAATTTTGTAAAAGTCTTTTTACACCTCACAAGGGGCGTCGTTCACTTGTTTTGATCTGCATTCTTTTCATCAGATGTTTTATTGCAGCAGCATGTTCTTCTATTCGTAAACCCGTTGCTGTGTTACGTCTGCCATCTATAATTTTGCCCTTTGCTTGCGCGTTGTTCCCTCTAGCAGCGTGTGGTGTTGTCTTCAATTGAGTCTTTCTTACACATTTACTTTCGACCAACAAATTTCGGCCCTAAATGGCCATCTTCAGGTGACTTACTATGCTAAAACTGCTACACTGTACTAATATTGTCCATTCGCCACATATGCAACAGCACGCTTCAATATTTAAAACGTCATAATCGTAGTCAGTTGGTATGCGCATGAACAGTTTTACATATACAATGCAACATGATGCTTAAAAGAAGATTCCTTGTAAAAATAACAGAAAACGCCATATTGAATTAGAAACATGAAGTACAACAGCACGAGCCGGAGTGGCTCTGTCGTTATGACAAGCTACGGGCTGGAAAGTCGAGGATACAAGGTTCCATTCTCAGCAGAGGTAAGATA